GACATTTAAACATAATTAATTTCCATTGTAATTCTGTGTTTTATCTTAGACATTTAAAAATATTACTCTGTGAAGTAGTCTGTAGGCTTTGTCATAGTGCCAAAGGGATTGATGGCACCAAAAGTACATTATAAAGCCTTACCTAGGGGGTGGCAGAGTAGTAATATTTATGAAACTCAGGTCTGTGGATGACCTTGTAGAGCAGAGCTACCCTTGAAGTTCTGGACCACTCCTCTAGATCAGGGCTGCCCAACAAAACTTTCTGGGATGATGAAAATGTTCTATATATGTTGTTCAATACAATAGCCTCTAGTCAAGTGGCTTTTAAGTGCTTGAGATGTGCCCAGTACAAATGAGGAGCTGAATTTCACATTTTATTTAAGTATACTTGATTTAAATGTAAATAGCCACAAGTACCTAGTGGCTACCATATTGGATAGCACAGGTCTAGATTTTTATATGAAAGAGAAACAGATTTCTGTCTTGTTTGAACTGCCATATTTTTGGGTCTCCCTGTTATAGCACTTCATCCTATACCTTAACTAATACACAACCCTTCCTAGAGTCAATAATAATAGTAACATACCAGGGATAGAAGGTACACTTGTACAAAGTCAACACATAAAGAAGAAAAAAAAAAAAAGAAACTAATTAAAACCAAGAATTGTAATAGGAATTTTCTAGTTAACAGGCATTCCCATATACATTATTTTGCCTGATATCTATTATCACCCTGTGATTATTATTGCCCCTATCTTATTCTCAAAGAGGTTAGGTGACTTTGCTGAAGTCACACAGTATAGCCAGGAGTCAATTCCAGATCTTACCACCACCACATCATGTGCTTTCTTTCCAGCATTCTGAATGCTCTGGATGGTAGTCCTACCCACTGATTTCTGGAGAGGAGAGAGGAGGCAATGGAGGTTGAATCAGTCACCAATAGCCAAAGATGTAATCAATTATGCCTATGTAATGAAGGCTCCATTAAAAACTCAAAAGGATGAGGTTCAGAGACCTTCCAGGTTGGTGAACTAGGACACTCCCATGTACCACTGTGCTAAGCCCCAAACTCCACAAGGACATAGCTCCTTTGTTCGGGTCCTCACCCTATTATCTCTTCATCTGGCTACTGATTCATATCCTTTAATATCCTTTGTAATAATTCAGTAATCTAGTAAGATGATTTCCAGAGTTCTGTGAGCCACTAGCAACTTAATTGAACCCAAGGAGGGGGTCACGGGAACCTCTGACTTATAGCCCGTTGGGTAATAACATGGACTTGTAACTGGCATCGGAAGTGGAGGGCAGTCTTGAGGACTGATGCAAGCTGATATTATCTCTGGGTAGATAGTGTCAGAATTGAGTTGAACTGTAGGACACCCAGCTGGTGTTAGAGAACTGCGTGGTGTGGGGGACCCCTCCCCCAGTAGGAATTGGGTACTAAATCTTTAATGTCTACACTGTTACTTCTTGACTTCATGATTTTTTTCCCCCTCAGGTTGAAGCATTGTGTATCTATTTCCCATTTTGGTAAATGAGGATTTAGCTATCTTCCACTGAGAGCCCCCTCACCCCCACAATCATAAACTCTTCCCTTCCCTTCCTTTCATCTTGTCAACATAATTATAATTCCATTTAGATCAGTATCTAATTGCTGTATCAAGGTGCCTGTGTAATATGCTAGGATTACTTTTCATCTCTTCTACAGGGTTGTTTTCCCTGGAGTTAACAACTGTCTTTTTTGTTTTACTTTGTTCTTAAATACTTATCCATAATTTAATCCCAAACTTTCTGCGAACTGTCTAAATCTCCTAAATAAATGTTCAGACACATTAGGTATTTAAGCAGTTTCATTTCCTTAACAAAATCTGTGCTGGAGACTTCTGCCCTGATCCAATCTGTTGTAGTTTCCCTTTTTGCATCAGGTCATCCCGAGGATTCCTCTGTCTCCCTCCTGTGTGCCATCCACCTTTTCCCATTTACCATGTCTTCTTTCTTGGTTTATTTTTGTTTATCTAGAGTTCATCCTTCAGTGGTTTCCTCAAAAATGGTGAATAAAAGGTAAATTTTTGGAGAGCCTGCATATCTGAAAATATCTTTATTCTAGCTTCATGCTCAATTAACAGTTTGTCTGGATACAGAATTGTAGATTAGAAATAATTTTCCTTCATGGTTTGAAAACATTGTTTCATTGGCTTCTGGTTTCTAGCATAGGTACTGAGAAGTCGAAAACCATTCTGATTTTTGTGTTTTCTCTTTCTTTCTGCAACTTCTATCATCTGGATGTTGGCATTCCTACCCCGATCCATAATTTGCTTATCTGTTATACCCTATTTTTCATTTTTTTGTCCTTTTGTTTTAATTTCTGGAAGATATTCTGAATTTCATAGTCTACTCCTTCTGTTGAATTTCAAACTTACTATATTTTTAATTTCTGAGAGTTCTTTTTTTAAAAGATTTTTTATTTTTTATTTAACAGAGAGAGAGAGAGCACAAGCAGGGGGAGAGGTATGCAGAGGGAGAAGCAGACTCCCTGCTGAGCAGGGAGCCCAATGTGGGGCTCAATCCCAGGACCCTGGGATCATGACCCGAGCCGAAGGCAGACTTAACTGTCTGAGCCACCCAGGCACCCCTGAGAGTTGTTTTTCATTATCTGAATATCCCTTTTCATGGCCCTTTGTTCTTGTTTCATGAATATAATCTTTTGTCTCAATGAGAATATAAATAATAGAGGAATTTTTTGGAGTATCTAAAATTTTCATCTCTTGACATAGTCTGTTTCCTTCAAATTTAGTTTAGTCTCTGTCTTTAAGTTAGATGCCACTAATCCCATTCATGAGCAGTCCACCGCCATGACCTAGTCACCTCCCAAAGGCCCCACACCTCCAAATACCATCACAATGGGGATTGATTTATGAATTTTAGTGGGACACAAACATTCAGGCTATAGCACCATCTTTCCAGATTCCAAATTTTTTGTTGCCATTGTTTGCTCTCCTATTCTTATTATCTTTGAGGGTTAAAAAATATCCCTTTACACTCAGGGTGTTACAGGAAGGATAACAAATAAACATGCTTGATCTTTTCTTTTCTTTCTTTCTTTCTTTTTTTTTGAGTAACACATTCACATGGTTCAAGCTTCAGAAGGAAAAAAGATTATATAATGTAGTCTCTCTCCCATCCTTAATGCCCAGCCATCCAAAAGCCCTCCTAGGAAGAAACCAATGTCACCAATTTCTGGCATCCCTCAGCCTACCTTAATCCTAGATTTTACTCTATATTATCAGCCTATTTGGATCCTTTTAGTCTTTGCTTTATTGCTATAGCTCCTATCATATTGTATGAAGAATTTCTTGAGGAAACAGATAAAAAACTGAAGGAGCCTAGCTTTTGGGGGGAGGATTAAAACAATGATAAGATTTATCTTTTTTATCCCTTCTATTTTATGTACACTTTCTCACCTTGTATGGCCCTGTTCATTGCCTCAGACACCAAGGAGTAACCACAAAAGCTTCTCCCCAGCTACTAATAAATCAGCTCTATAAGAAGGGATCTGAGAAATTGTTTTTGTGTGAATGACTAATACAGCCTACTCTGCCATTCTTCCCCTGAAGTGGCTGAATTTTCACAGGAGATAAAACTTAAGGTCAAAGGAATTAAGCTCTAGTGGCTGCCATTTTGGGAGTCACCCAGGGCAACAGGTCACTTTTGCCAAGATGTGCTGTTACTGGGACAATGCTTACCAGGAAAACAGGGTCAAGCCAGAGCAGACTCTCAACACTAGATGATTTTCAAACTATGCAAATGCCAAAGAAGCTATCTCTTAATATAGGGAGCACCAAAGCTGAATAGGCCAACTGAAACATTCATACATTAATAAAGATGCTACTTATAGTCATTTTCCATCTAAATAATAATGTTGGGAAACAGTACTGATTAACAAAATTACCATGAAGTAAACTTAAAATAAAAATTATCCATAAATTGTGCTTTTTAAAATGAGTGTCTTCAAAAATGTAACTGAAACCAAGATAGCAAAATGTTAGCTTCCAGTTCTATGATGAAGTAGATGGTATCAGACTCACTTTCTTGCCATAAACAATAAAAACTTGACAAAATATATAAAATAACAGTTACCTGGCTCAGAGAGCAACCAACACAGAAACTCAAGCACGGAACAATTGTTTTGATAGAGGGATGAGGCAGAAATAAAAGTTCGATGCTGCTAAGGTGGCTGAGATTTGGGGAGCAGGATGTGGTAGAGATGGTTGAATGTGAGGGAGGGAACCCAGAAATCTACATGGAAATTGCCCTTGGATCCTTGGCTAACCCTTGGGCTACTGAGTGGTGGCTGAGACTCCTAAAAGTCTGGGAGAAAGTATGTGCTGTGAAGCTGAGACACTCTGAGTGGAAATGCCAGGTATTAAACAGTATTGGAAAGATGTGGGATTTGGGGTGATGGGAGAGTGGAAGACATAGGTGAACATACCAAACATCGACTTACAACTCAGAAAAGCCACCCATAAGATTATCAATCATACTTAGCAGTAAGGGGACCCTAAAGTAGATCTTCCCTAAATAAGTCCTTCTAGTAACTTAGCTGACTGACGGTGGTGCCTGGGTGGCTCAGTCGTTAAGCGTCTGCCTTCGGCTCAGGTCATGATCCCAGGGTCCTGGGATCGAGCCTCGCATCGGGCTTCCTGCTCCGCGGGAGGCCTGCTTCTCCCTCTCCCACTCCCCCTGCTTGTGTTCTCTCTCTTGCTGTGTATCTCTCTCTGTCAAATAAATAAAATCTTTAAAAAAAAAAAAAAAACTTAGCTGACTGAACAAATTTAAAGACTCTAAAAATTACTATAAGATAGTCTAGAGTAAATCTAGCATTTACAGTGTCTGGCATATAATAAATATTTACTAAATACTGCCCTCCACCCCCTGAAAACTGTAAAAGGCACCAATTATCAAGAGATAAAACAGTGATTAAAAGCAGAGTTAAGGGGCACCTGGGTGGCTCAGTCGTTAAGCGTCTGCCTTCGGCTCAGGTCATGATCCCAGGGACCTGGGATCGAGCCCCGCATCGGGCTCCCTGCTCCACGGGAAGCCTGCTTCTCCCTCTCCCACTCCCACTGCTTGTGTTCCCTCTCTCGCTGTGTCTCTCTCTGTCAAATAAAGAAAATCTTAAAAAAAAAAAAAAAAAGAAAGCAGAGTTAATCCAGATATTTGACTTAGCAAAGACTCCAAAATAGCTGTGATTAATATAGTCAAAAGAAAAGAGATAGAAAAACCAGATGAAAGAATAGAATATTTGAACTTAGAAGCCACAAAAATAAAAAATCCAAAAAACTTCCCAGAACTTCTAAAAACAGTATCAGAGATTAAAAACTCACAGGATGGATTCAACAGTAGAGTAGATATGCAGCAGACAGGATTAATGAGCCAGTAGATAGGTCAATATTATATATCCAAAATAAAGCACAAAGAGAAAAAAAACAGAAAAAGCAAAACAGAAAGTAATATAGAGCCATAGTGAGATGATCTAACATGCATGCAATTAGACTCACATTAGGCAGAAAAAGAAAGAATGGAAAAGAAGACAAATTTGGAAAAAATGGCAAATAATATTCAGAATCTGAGGAAACATATCTACCCCACAGATTCAAGAAGCTCAGTGACCCTCAGGCAAGACAATAAACAGAACCAAACCTAGGTACATCACAAATTGATAAAAAGCAAAGATAAAGAGAAAATCTTAAAAGTACCCATGGTGGGGTAGGGGGCGGGGAAAGGACACATTATCCTCCAGGAAACAATAAGAATGAATGTTGATGGAGGTTAAAAACATGCTACTACACAAACAATGAATCATGGAACACTTCATCTAAAACCAATGATGTAATGTATGGGGATTAACATAAGAATAAAAATTAAAAAAAACAACAACAAAAACCCATGCTACTAAACAATGAATGGCTCAACCAAGAAATCAAAGAGGACATCAAAATTACATAAGGAGACAAATGAAAATGAAAACACAATGGTCCAAAATCTTTGGGATGCAGCAAAAGTGGTTCTAAGAGGGATGCTTATAACAATGCAGGCCTACTACCTCAAGAAGCAAGAAAAATCTCAACATTAATGACCTAACCTTACCCCTAAAAGAGCTAGAAAAAGAACAAACAAAACCCAAAACAGAAGGAAGGAAATAATAAAGATTAAAGTAGAAATAAGTGAAATAGAATTTAAAAAAACCCCACAGAACAGATCAATGAAACCAGAAGCTGGTTCTTAGAAAGATCAACAAAATTGATAAACCTTTAGCCAGACTTATTTAAAAAAAGAGAGAGGACTCAAACAAAATCAGAAATGAAAGAGGAGAAATAACAACCAATATCACAGAAATACAAAAGGTTATAAAAGAATATTATGAAAACCTATATGACAACAAATTGGACAAACTAAAAGAAATGGATAAATTCCTAGAAACATATAACCTCTTAATCAGGAAGAAACATATAACTCTCCCGAATCAAGAAGAAATAGAAAATTTGAACAGATCGATTACCAGGAATAAAATTGAATCAGTAACAAACAAAAGTCCAGCACCAGAGAGCTTCATAGGTGAATTCTACCAAATCTTTTTTTTTTTTTTTTCTTTTTTACTGGCTTCTTAGAGTTTATTTTCTACTTGGTATAAGGCACATGGTTACAGGGCGTCGGAAAAGTTTGCATATGGCATGGATAGTAAGAGTGGGGCTTTCTCAACTTCCTTTTTGGTGTTTTGCTGTTTTGATATAAAAGAACCCAAGTGCTTCTGTTTGCTGCAGCCTGACTAGTCTATATAGAGGGGAGGGGCGGGGGAGGAATGGCTCTGATGAGCCTAGTGCCTCCTGAAGCCTGGTGGTTGTGATGGCCACGCAGGATCAGGGCCGGTGTTGGCTTTGCTAGGCTGGCCACCAGGCTGCTTCCTCATGGCTTCCAAAGCCAAGTCACAGGTGACAGTGTCACTGGAGGCCTGGGGAGATTCTGAGCATTCTGGGGACTCCAACACCATAGGCATGAACGGGAGAGTGCACTTCCCCCAAAAGAAGCTTGCCCACCAGTGACCCAGGTGGGCTTTTGGGAGACTGGGTGGTGGGGGATGGCTTCCCCAGGTTACTCTGCACTTCTGCAAGAGCTGTTACTGGAAGTGGAACCCAGGCAGTGCCGGTAATAGTTGTGGGTGGCCACAAGTGAGCCACTGGAGGGGATGGCTGCCAAGTGGTTGTTTGTGGGTTGGTGGTGACCCCTGGAGGGCCTCGGCCTGTGATCACAGGTGGCAGGGATGGGGACACTAGGCCATGGAGCATTTGCAGAGAAGACTGATGAAGGCCACTCGGTGACCAAGGCAGAGGCAGGGTCTCTAACAATATTTACAGAAGAATTAATACCTATTTTTCTCAAACTATTCCCAAAAACAGAAGAGGAAGAGAAGTTTCCAAATTCATTCTATGAGGCCAACATTATCCTAATACAAAAACCAGATGAAGATACTACAAACAAAAAGAACTACAGGCCAATATCTCTGACAAACATAAATGCAGACAAATATTAGCAAACCGAACCCAACAATACGCTAATAAAAATCATTTACCATGATCATTGGGATTTATTCCATGGATGCAAGAGTGGTTCAATATTCACAAATCAATCAGTGTGATAAATCACATTAAGTGAGAAAGGATAAAAACCGGAAGATCATTTCAATAGATGCAAAAAAAAAAAAAAAGCATCTGACAAAGTACAACACCCATTCATGATAAAAACCCTCAACAAAGTAGGTTTAGAAGGAACAAACCTCACATAATATAGGCCATCTAGGAAAAACTCAAAGCTAATCATCCTTAATGGGAAAAAACTGAGAACTTTCCCCCTAAGGTTAGGAACAACACAAGGATGTCCACTCTCATCCCTTTTATTTAACATAGTCCTGGAAGTCCTAACCATAGCAATCAGACAAGAGAAATAAATAAAAGGCATCCAAATTGGTAAGGAAAAGGTAAAACTTCCACTATTTGCAGATGACATGATAATATATATAGAAATCCCTCAAGACTCCACCAGAAAAACTACTATAACTGATAAATGAATTCAGTAAGGTCACAGAATACAAAATTAATATACAGAAATCAATTGCATTTCTGTACACTAACAATGAAATAGCAGAAGGAGAAATTAAGAACACAACCCCATTTATAATTGCACCAAAAATAATAAAATACCTGGGAATAAACTTAACCAAGGAGGTGAAAGACCTGTACTCTGAAAACTATAAAATGTTTGATGAAAGAAATTCAAGATGACACAAGCAAGTGGAAAGATATTCCATACACATGGACTGGAAGAACAAATACTGTTAAAATGTTCATACTACCCAAAGCAATCTACTGATTTAATGCAGTCCCATCAAAATATCAACAGCATTTTTCACAGAACTGGAGCAAATAATCCTAAAAGTTGTATGGAACCACGAAAGACCCCAAATAGCCAAACCAATCTTGAAAAAGGAAAAAAAGAACAAAACTGGAGGTACTACAATCCCAGATTTCAAGAAATAATACAAAGCTGTGGTAATCAAAAAGTATGTTATTGGCACAAAAATTGACACATAGATCAATGAAAAAGAATGGAGAGCCCAAAAATACACCCACATTTATATGGTCAATTAATCTTCAACAAAGGAGGCAAGAATATACAATGAGAATAACACAGCCTCTTCAACAAATGGTGTTGGGCAAACTAGACAGCTATATGCAAAAGAATGAAATTGGACCACTTTCTTACACTATACACAAAAATTAACTAAAAAATGGATTAAGGACCTAAATGTGAGACCTGAAACCATAAAAATCCTAGAAGAGAGCACAGGCAATAAGCTCTCCAACATGGGACATAGCAACATTTTTCTAGATATGTCTCCTGAGGCAAGGGAAATAAAAGCAATAAGAAACTATCAGTAATACATCAAAATGAAAAGCTCCTGCACATTGAAGGAAACAATCAACAAAACTAAAAGGCAACCTACCGAGTGGGAGAAGATATTTGCAAATGACACATTCGATAAAGGGTTAGTATCCAAAATATATAAAGAATTTATATAACCCAACACCAAAAAACCAAATAATCCAATTAAAAAGGGGCAGAAGACATGAACATACATTTCTCCAAAGAAGATATCCAGATGGCCAACAGACACATGAAAAGACATTCAACATCACTCATCATCAGGGAAATGCAAATCAAAACCACAATAAGATATCACCTCACACCTGTCAGAATGGCTAAAATAAAAACACAAGAAACAACAAATGTTGGCAAGGACGTGGAGTAAAAGGAACCCTCTTGCACTGTTGGTGGGAATGTAAATTGGTAAAGCCACTGTGGAAAACAGTTTGGAGGTTCCTCAAAAAATTAAAAATAGAATTACCATATCATCCAGTAATCCACTAATAGGTATTACCTAAAGAGTATAAAAACACTAATTTGAAGGGACAAATGTACCCCTATGTTTATAGCAGCATTATTTACAATAGCCAAATTATGGAAGCAGCCTAAATGTTCATTGATAGATGCATGGATAAAGAAGATGTGGTACACACACACACAAACACACGCATGCATGCACGTGCGCACGCACACACACACACAGGAATATTACTCAGCCTTAAAAAAGAATGAAATCTTGCCATTTGAACAATGTGGATGGACCTAGAGAGTATAAGGCTAAGTGAAGTAAGTCAGAGAAAGACAAATACTATATGATTTTACTCATATGTGAAATTTAAGAAACCAAACAAAGAGAAAGAGAGACAAAAAACAGACTCTACAGAAAACTGATGGTCACCAGAGGGGCAGTGGGTGGGGGGATGGATGAAATAGGTGAAGGGGATTAAGAGAACACTTATTATCATGATGAGCACTGAGTCATGTATAGTTGTATAGAACTGTCGAATCCCTCTGTTGTATGCCTGAAACTAATATAACACTGTATGTTAACTATACTGGAATTAAAAAAAAAAAAGAATGTTGACTTAAGAAAAATTACATGCACACACAGAAAAATTCACAAAGTAAATGATTTTAAAAGTTCTGAAGAAAAAAAAAGTCAACTAAAAATTCTATACCCAAGGAGGATGCCCTT